GGTGTGTGTGTGTGTGTGTGTGTGTGTGTGTGTGTCGGTTTCAGGGATAATTTGCATCTATTATCAGCTCTTCATCCCATTGGCTTTTCCACGCACACAGACCAACGTGCACGAGCGCACACAAACACACACATATAGGGTCTATTACACTTTTTTTTCTTTTTTGCGCCTGTACGCGCACGCGCATGTAAGCCTTGATAGTCTCCCGGCGTCGGCTCGAGGAGCTCCGCGCTCCTGTGATAATGTAAAGGGAGTGAGAGAATGAAGAAAGAGAGAAGAAAGAGAAGAAGAAGAAGAAGGAGAAGAAGAGGGAGGAGGAGGAGGGGGGGTGAAAGAGAATAGGTGCAGCATCAAGCAAGGGGTGGGGGGATTGGGAGGGGGGGGTGGTAATGAGAATTCTGCCGCTTTGCATCTGATCAAGTGCGCACACATAAGCACGCACACACCAATCTAACCAACCAAAGGAAGCAGAGATGGATTTTTTTTTTCTTACTTTAAAGCTGAGATTGAGGTTGGGTGGTGATGCTCGCGGTGGTGGAGGTGGGTTGGGGGTGGGTGTATTGCATTGCATCTTTGAGAGCATCTCCCTCATTAATTGCTCTTTCTCATTTCTCCCCCTGAATCCTTAAAGGAGAGCGCGCGGCTGGCTGCACGGGAGCGAAGTGAATGAGGCCCGAAAATGTCAGGGAGCCTGGGCGAGAGAGGTTAACACAGACCGAGGAGAGAGAGAGTAGCGGGGTAGCGCTTCCTAATTGGTATCGGTTTTAACAAGTACTGGCCTATAAATGTAATTGAGGTTTTAAAACTAGTTGTCAGAGCCTCTTCTTGTCTTCCATTCCAATCTGACTGCTTGCTGGTCAGAAAACAGACGAGCTCCTGGACGCATGCTCTCTGATCATCGTATACTTTTATAAATATGATCTCCATAAACATGTAAGGAGGACCGGGGAGGGTTATAGGCTGGGAGAAAGTGGCTGTAAACGCTTTAACAAACTATAAAGCTCCATAAAGCGGAGGGGCAGTGTTTACTTGTTTACGTCCGTGCGGCAGAGAAACAAAAAGGAGGGTTTTTACGACGCGCCCTTTGCGCGACCGGGGGCCGTAAACGCCTCATCCTTGCCCGGTATTTAATTGTCATTTTCCCCGTGTTTTCCATACGGTTGTGGTCTTTCCTGTTGGAATGTAAACTGAGGTTGTAGGAGGGCTTTTCTAACGAGGGATAAGTTGTGGACAGGTTAAGCTCGGCCTTGTAGAACAGCCGGCGCTCGTAAAAAGTAAGATGGCCTAAAGTGCAGCCCAAACAACTCAACTGTGCAGTTATTTCTACTTAGATACAGACTGAATTGCCTACAGTTTGTGTCTACAACAGGCCTGAAAGTTTGAAAATCAAATATAATAAATTGGTGACCCAGGTTCCTGCAGACACAGTCGCATGTGAGACCTTTATCAGAATTTCCTCTTTTGAATATTTTCTTTTCGCGCTATCAATTTATTTCCAATATCGACTGTTTTGCGTCCATGGCGCGCCCACACCAGCCAAATAAAAAATACCATAACCCGAATTTAATTTGTTTAGATTATACAGCGCTGACACAAGAGGCCCAAACGTTGCCAGCCTGAATTACAGACTGAGTTGTGGTAAATCAGCTGATTGCACGCTCGACTTTCCGAGGAGTAATTGCCGCAGTATTTTTCCAATTTATTACCCGGAATATGATCTTATTGAAACTTCACTTCACCGTCACCGCGCAGTGTTTTACACTTCCAATAAAGTGTTTTCTTATGAGATCTGTTGTCTGCATGGTGATATGAGAATGTGATGTTCAAGAAAAAAAGTCACATTTTCTTAACAGCTTTCACGCGCCCTGAGAACTGTCCGCACATCCCCGCTGTCAGAGGCAGACCGTGAAAGCCTGTTATCGGGTCATTTCTGCAGAGTAAACACACTTGGACAAAACAATAAGAGGCCAAATGAGCACCAGAGTCGTGCCCACACTCACCGCAATGAATATGAAGGAAGAGTAATCAAAAACTAGATTTCACCCCTCGCGTCTTATTGCGTCATGTCCTCTGCGTCAAACCTACACTATCTACAACATCTTCACACTGGAGAGAATGGATTTGGCCACAGCAGCAGTGTAGCATACATAAAGACCTCTGTGTATCCCATATGCGCTGATGTAAATATTGCTCCCATTTTTACCTGAGGAAAATCTTTCTGGCACCAAAACACTTTGACCCCTTTCACAATCCCTGCGCCTATGCCTGCATAATAAGCAGTGAGTGGGTAAGGTGCGATCGTCCTTGGTGTGAATTTTGCACCAGGAAAAATAACCATTTCCTGGCAGCCCATACGTATCCTGCACGCCTATGGGATATTATTTTCCAAGGCCTCAACCCTTCCTCTTCATCCCCTGTACGGAGTGAAAATGACCCGAAACTGCTTAAAATGTCAGGATGTTCTAAAGCAAAGTCAAAAAGTGGCATAATCACCTCACTTCTTCTTAAAAATGCCCCTCTTAGAATGCATTAAGAAGAGGAATACGGCAAGTTTCACCCCCTTAAAGGAGCCCATACATGTATGAGTCTTCCATAAAGGCAAGCAAAGCCTCAGGCGAGGTCTGTGTTATTGGTGGAGCAAGAGCGCCATCAAGCGGTCAGCTACAGGAAAGCCACGGGGGGAAGTCTGCCTCTAATGCGGCTTTATAGTTCTATTAAGTCCGCACATAAAGCTATATAAGCTGCTTTAAAATAAAACTGCGTGTCGTAATTGGAGGCCAGGAGTGAGGGTTGATTTGGGATTTCCGGAATTTAGACATGCCTGACTCATGGAGATGTCTGACAGGAAAGGTAAAGGGAAAGAATGCAAACACAATTTAGTCTTGCTCATACATGTTAGATTTAACACAAAAAAACTGACACTAAAAAACTGACACAGTGTGGATCAATATAGCACCGGCGTAATAGTAAATTAACTGGGCCTATATATTTCATTCTGGCTGTTAAACATATAGAGTCGAACTCTGCCCTAAACATTAGATCACGGATATTGAATTTTTAAAAAAAAAAAAAAAAAAGAAAGAAAAAAGAAAAAAAAGAAATTAAATTAGAATCGTTCCCCTTCTGTACTATTTTTGAAATATTTTTATCCCAAGCAGGGCCACAAATAAACTAACACAACAGAAAATCAGCTTAATGTAGGCTGTAGTTGTAAAAACGCGAGTTTTCGCTTTTTATTTAAATCAGTGTCAACACTATATCATACTACACAATAGATTAATTTATATGCCATATGAGCGTAAACACACAGTGTACTGTTTTTGTTTTAAGCTAAATCAGTTAGATTGTCCACATTTACATGTTATTAGAAATGTTAGCATTTAATCCAGGGGTTATGTGGGTCAGTTAGTGGCGTTTATGTACTGACTTATATATAATACTCAGATATATTTCTATATATATGGCGGTTATGTTACAATATTTTTATTTTTTTATTTTTTTTCGGGTAGGCCTATTTTTACATATGTCGCATACAAATTTAAAAAAAAAACATACAAAATACTAATAAAATGAAATGTAAAAAAATAAAAATAAATAAATAAATAAAAAATAAAAAATATAAAATAAATAAAATAAAATAATAAAATAAAAATCAAAATAAAAAACAAAAAGCAAAGTAAATATTTTATTCGGACTTTTTACTGATTGCAATTATGATTCTTTTTTTTTGTTACGTCATGATTCAGATTATCATTATTATTGTTATTATTTTTGTAAATTCAGATTGTTACTAAAACGATGCCTAAACGCACGTGTGTACGGAAATAGTTTTCATTTTAAAACGCTGTTTTAAAACGAAACCGTACCCTAACCCATTGACATTTCTGAAAATTTGACACATGCATCGCTGGTGTTATAACCTGTAAAACGATTAAGAAAAGAAAGAGCACGTGAACAGGTCAAGCTTTGGAGTTTTGGAACGTGGACACAGTGTGACTGCGTTATCTGACGATTCCAGCACAACTCAGACAAACCAGCAACCTTTATTATGATCGCCTTTATGTTTGTGGGACCCGTGTGTGTGTGTGTGTGTGTGTGTGTGTGCAGGTTGCTAAATTATAGGCTGTAAACAGACTGTAAAAACTGGTTGTTAACATTATCTGAAGACACTGCAGCCTCAGGTCCTCAGTTTCTCCCCTGTGGAAATATGAACTTTTTTAGGGTATCATAACGGTGAAAACAGATAAAAAATAGCGCGACATTTTAAAAATATAATAATAACCCGCGCCAATCCACCAAAACCCTGCAGACAGCTGCAGTGGAGGCAAAAATCCACAGAAGGTTCAACATCACGTAAACACTTCTCTGCCTCCCCCCCGTTGTACAGCCCCAGCCCCGGCCCCGCCGTGCCCCCTACGCCGGAAAAGAAGCATGGGAGCCGGCCACAGCACACCCTGCGTGTCGGGGTCTGCTGTCTGGCTGTGTTTTTGTGTTGTCTTTTTTCTCAGGGGGTTTACAGCCGCCGTTTTAAGGATGCATCTGAGTGAAACAAAGGGAGGTCGGACAGGAGACAACGCTTACACACACACCACACACACACACACACACACACACACACACACATAGTGCAAAAAATGCCCCTATAGAGCCAAAATGCTACAAAACCATAAAACTCCCAAAGCTGAAAAGAAGAGGAGGAGATGAGGAAGGAGACTCTTCCACGCTACTGCAATGCAACAGTAGCACGAAATCAAATGAGATCCCACTGTATCTGAAAACGGATTCTTCCTGCATATCCAGGCCTCTCCACCAGCCCACTGCCTCTCTCAAGTCTAGCAGGTCTGCCATCCAGAGGCAGCCCATCACTAATATTTGCTCTCTTCTTCTGCCTTCGCCGCCT